ATCTTATTCTACCTCCTGAAATGGTTGAATGTCAACCAATTCTTTTTGGTACAGTGACTGGGTATATTCCTTCCTTCTTGTTTTGATGCTTCCTGACTCATTCAGTATTTTGCCCATAGAATCTTTCACTACTGCAACTTGAGGCTTGAATTTTTTCTTCAGTTCTTTCAGCTTGAGAAATGACGAGCATGTTCCTCCCTTTTGGTTGTCTAACTCTAGGTCTTTGCACATTTCATTGTAATACTTTGTCTTCTCAAGCCGCCCATTGAAATCTGTTCAGCTCTTCTATTTCATCATTTCTTCCATTTGCTTTAGTTACCCTATGTTCAAGAGCAAGTTTCAGTTTCTTCTGACATCCATTTTGGTCTTTGTTTCCTGTCTTTTTAATGACCTTTTGCTTTCTTCATTATGATGTGCTTGATGTCATCTTCTGGTCTTTGGTCATGAGTGTTCAATGCATCACATCTACTCTTAAGATGGTCTCCAAATTCAGGTGGGATATATTCAAGGTTGTATTTTGGTTCTCATGGACTTGTTTTAATTTTGTTCAGCTTCAACTTAATCTTGCATTTGAGCAATTGATGGCCTGTTCCTCAGTCAATCCCTGGACTTGTTCTGATGATATTGAGCTTTCCCATCATCTCTTTCCACAGACATAGTCAATCTGATTCCTGCGTTTTCCATCCGGTGAGGTCCACATGTATAGTCGCCGTTTATGTTGTTGAAAAGAGGTAGTTGCAATGAAAAAGTTCTTGGTCTTGCAAAAATTGTATCATGTGATCTCTGGTGGTGTTTCTATCACCAAGGCCATGTTTTCCAACTACAGATCCTTCTCCGTTTCCAACTTTCGCATCCAATCACCAATAATTATCAATGCATTTTGATTGCATGTTCAATCAGTTTTAGACTGTAGAAGTTGGTAAAAATCTTCAATTGCTTCATCTTTTGCATTAGTGGCTGGTTCATAAATTTGAATAGTCATACGAACCAGCCTTCCGTGTAGGCATATAGATACTATCCTATCACTGACAGCATTGTACATCAGGATAGATCTTGAAATGTTCTTTTTGACAATGAATGTGATGCCGTTCCTCTTCAATTTGTCATTCCCTGCATAGTAGATCATACGATTGTCTGATTCAAAATGACCAATACCAGTCCATTTCAGCTCACAAATGCCTAGGATCTCAATCTTTACGTGTACCACTGCATTTCCGATGACTTCCGATTTTCCTGGAGTCATACTTCGTACATTCCACCTTCTGATTATTAATGGATATTTGTAGCTGTTTCTTCTCGAGTCGTGCCACATCAGCAAATGAAGGTCCCAAAAGCTTGACTCTATCCATATCATTAAGGTCGAATCTATTTTGAGAGGGCAGCTCTTCCTCAGTCGTATGTGACTGCCTTCCAACCTGAGAGGCTCATCTTCTAGCAGTATATCAGACAATGTTCTGCTGATATTTATAAGGTTTTCACAAGCCAATTTTTCAGAAATAGACCACTGGGTCCTTCTTCCTAGTCTGTCTTAGTCTAGAAGCTGCACTGAAACTCGTCCACCATGGGTGACCCTGCTGGTATTTGAAATATTGGTGGCACAGCTTCCAACATCACAGCAATATGCAAGCCACCACAACATGGCAAACTAACAGGCAGTGGATTAGAGAAATATCAGGTTCTATTTTGGGAAGTACCAGGTTACAATTCAGGATCAGGAATGACTCAAGATACAGTTCTTCAGTCAGGACAGCTTCTCAGCCGCGCCCACAGACAGACCTCTCTTTGGCCCTTAGCCCATCAGCCCCTTGAGCTGGCCTGGCCTCTGCCCTGCTTGGGCAAGTGTTACAAAGCTCTTTAGCTCCACCATAAGTGCCCAGAGGCACCCCACTCTTGACAGTAAGCCTCCAGCCTGAAGGCGCTCAGCTCTCTTGCTCCACAGACCAGAAAGCCCACCGTGCCATCTCCTGCCACCGTTTCTCTGCCACTGCTTCTCACCGTCTTGCACTGTCTCTGGTGTTACAGCTCTCTCTGTTTCCTGGGTCTAGGAGGTTCTCAGGGCTGTTTGAGAATCCAAAGGATGTTTTCCATTCCTATCTCTTTTTAGTGGTAGTGAGGTTCCCCCCTTTCTGCCTCCAGGATGGCTCATTTTAAGCCTAGTGGGATGGCAAAACTGACCGATACCCTTGCTAGGTTTCAACACACCTTATTTACATGGTTCCATCCCCCACAATAGTATCACGCACCTTATGTACATTATTAGCAAGCTGCCCAATCCCCTTGGTGAGCCACAAACAGCTTATCTGCATAGCCCCACCTAATCATTTGGTGGGAGTTACAAGACCATGGCGTGAAAGCGATCCACTGCACCACAGCACTGCAGTAGCGGCTAGATTTCTAGATGCTGACTCGGTGGTTAGACGGTCTCCTGTGTCAGACCCCTCCCCATGACCCCAATCCCTGGCTTCTGTCGCAGACATGTGTCCTGCATCCAGGCTTCCCGCTCCAGCATGTCAGTCAGCTTGGACATGTCAGCCAGCGTGGTCTGCCTCACAGGCCTGATTGATTCTGACCCCCAGACTCATGTGTCCAGTTCCTCTCCTTAATCCCACTGGTTGTCACTGTCCCCTCCCCACTCACAGAACACATAGCCCCCAACCTCTGTCCAGCCGATCCTGGTCCTTCAGGCGGAAGCATCCATCGTCACTGCTGTCCCCACACTCTGTCACTTGGCCCTGTTATGTGCTTACTCTTCGCGGGCCTGAGCTTCATCAGAGTGGTCGCTAAGCAGCCATTCAAGCCCCTGAGGGTGTCCTCCTGTGCAGAGAGCCAGGCAGACACTTCCTGGGAGCCCTGTGGCCTGAGCTCTGGATGCCATCCAGTATCTGCTACTTGGATGCACTCAGTGGGTCTTGACTGGAACTAGGTTTAAGTGGGAGGATGGCCCATGTTTATGAATGTCCACTAAGGCTATGGAGTGGCTGCGGACGCACAGGCTTGTGTTGCTTCAGTCTCTTCCTGACAGCTAAACCACAGCTACCTTGAGGTCCTGTCCTGGGCATTTCTGAAGCTCAGCTGTGCCCCACAGGCATCCACACATCATATTACTGTGCTCCTGCCATACCAGGGACCGCTCTGGGCACCAGGGACAGGCAGGAAGCAAACAGAGGTCCTTCAGGGCCAACATGAGGAAGTCTGTCATATGAGGTGGCCAGGGGAGGCCTCACAGAGGGACGACTCAGTAGATCGAAGGTGGTGATAGGGTGAGGTGGGCAGAAGGACAGCCCGACCACGGCCCCACCAGTGCCGCTGAGATGGAGAGAGGGACTGGGCTGCCTTGCCCCATCTCGGTCCCAGGATGGAGCCTGGCACAGATCAGGCACCTGGACAATGTTCACTCGGTTCATCACCGTGTCTGGACTCCGCTGTTTCACCCCTACACCTTGCTGACTCTATGTTCCTAGACAAGCACTGCCATTTACTATAGCTTTGTAGCACGCTGTGTTGTCTAGCGGGCTAGTCTCTTATCGTTTCTCTCTCAGAACGTTTCTGCATATTTACAACTTCATTTTATAGTCAGTTCCTCATGAAGAAGCCTATTGTGACCTTTACTCAGACCGCGTTAAACACACGGGTTAATCTGGGGAGTGCTGACATCTTTAAAATAACAGTCTCTCCATTTATGGACACAGAATACTTGTCTTATTTTACATACTCAAAGCTTTGTAATTTTTCTATAGCGGTCTTGCTCATTTCTCGTCAGGTTTGTTTCTACATACGTCAGAGGAATCTTTTACTCCCCTAACAGATGTTCTAACTTGTTGTTTCTGATGTAAGGAAAGCTTCTGAGGGTAGGCAGAGTGAGAAAGACAAGGTGAGCAGAGCAGCCCAGGGAGGCAGCAACGTGTGCAGGCCTGGGGGACTGCCGGCCAGCCCATGGGGTGCCCCCACAAGTGGGCCATGCTGAGGTGTCTACCTCACCACAAACACTTCCTCAAAACTCTCTGCTGCTCTAAGGGTGGGCACGCAAGCCACACCTGCACATGCCATCTCCCTCACAGCACCCAGTCTGGTGGCCCCACCAGACCAGTATGCGCTGCAGCCGTCATGTGCATATCTGGCGGCCACGAGGCAGCAGATGCTGGCACCTGGGCTCATGCTCCCTGATGGCTCAGCCTCAGAGAGAAGAGGTGTCCACACAGTCCAGGGGCACCCTGACACCAGGTTTTCAGGTCCTGACGTCCGGGTGCAGCCTATTTCTGAACAGTAACCTGTGCCCCCTCTCTTGTGGGGGTTAATACAAAACTTGACTTCTGGTTCTAACAGCCAAAGTCCTCACACGGACTGTCTCATTTTGGTGAGCCCCTGTGATTCTGCTTGCTACTGAGCACCCCACATCAGCCTACTGGGATCTCTATGAGTCCTGGGTGAAGGAGGGCCTGACAACCTGGGCTGGGGCCACCCCCCTCTGCCCTGGCACCTTCCCAGTGGGCTCTATTTGGCACTCGGACTCTTGAGGAGATGACCTGGACAATGTGGTTGTGTGCTCCTGGTGGCCTCCTGGGGCACAGCCTTCCAATCGGTCCCCAGAGCATGTCCAACCCCTCTGTGTAAACTCCCTGTGGCGGTCTGGCCAGACTGTCTCTCTTCCTCCTAACTCTATCTTAGGAGGAAGCCCAGAGGGTCCATGGCACCTGCCCGCTCCCACCGTCCATGTGTAACCCGTCTGACCACAGCAGTCAGTACTGTGTGCTGTAGCGCCCAGTGGGGCCTGTCTCAGAGGGTCAAGCCTTTCTTACTGTTTTTGCTCTTGGGGGACTAGCAGGCTCTCAATACAAGTCTGGTTAAAGACACACACGCTGAGCGCACAAACCACGCCCCCGGCTAACACCGAAGCTCTTCTGTGTGCCCTGCGCTGGGTCAGCTACCCAACCGCGCGAGCGCCCGCAGCACCCTCCTCACCTGACTCTTCAGCTGCTTCATTGTCAGAACATGTAACCTACCCTCACTCCGTGGAAGATGAGCGGGAATCCCTTCCTGGGCAGCTTCTCCCAGCCTAGCAGAGAGGTCACCACTTTGGGGTCTGCACAGACTTCAAGCTCCTTGTGGTAGAAGAGTCTGGACGGCAGTGCCAGCAGTGCCGAGTGGGACCTGTAGTTTTTCACGAGCTTTGTGACCTGCAGGCGAGCGTGCCAGTCACCGTAGGAAACCACACACCCGCCAAGGGCAGTGTCTGTCGCAGGAAAGAGGAGGCTCTGTTCTTGCTCAGGGTGCAGCCCACTGGGCCGAGCCCACCTGTGGCTGTCACGTGACTGACGGTGCCCTTGAGGGCTGCCCCAGGGCATACCACTCACGGGTGCTCTGCAGGCCAGAGTCCACCACTCAGCCCTCTGCCTAGCAGCCAGAGGGACACACGGACACTTGTGGGGCTCACGCACTGCCTGCAGGTGGGACCAGCTCCGCTGACCCATGGGCCCACCATCCTTCCTCAGCCTGGAGTCCCTCCCCTGGCCCCTGGCCAACAGGTCCTCCTCACACAGCCTCTCTGCCCCCTTCATATATCCAACTGGGTAAAGGGCTCGGGTTGAAAATATGGAACAGGTTCTAGAGCATTTACCAGGAAAGATACCCACAACCCCTGGCACCTCATCTTCTCTTTAGTATTAATACCATTAATACGCATTCAGATGAAAATGGGTTTCTTATGTTCTAGGAGTTTAAAGAACAACGCTACTTGATTCACCTATTAGTGACTGAGGTCCATGTTCTTGAGCCCTTGCGTGCAGGGGGGCCTCCTGCACATGCAGACTCTGAGCCCCTCCCCGAGAGCGTTAGCCAGGGTGGCTGAGGCCCAGCCCTGCCAGAACCAGCCCCTCTGAGGTCCATGCTCAGCGGGGACACAGCCTGATGCCCTCTCGGTAAGTGTTCTGTGTTTTAGGTTAGGTCACAAAAGTCATCTCCCATCTCCCCGTGGGCACAGAGCCACAGTGAGATAGGCCGAGTCTCAGCTCCAGCACAGACAGCCTGGAACGCCCGGCGCCCTAAGGGCCTGGGATAAGGAGCCCAGCTGGGGTGTGAGGTGGCCTCACAAGTCCCTGCAAAGGCCCCTCAATGTGGAGCGTGAGGGTGGAGGCAGAGCTGAGGCCAGTGCCCCACCTCTTCCACTACTCCTTCGGCGTTACTAGGCGAGGCCGAGGGCTCACCAACAAGGGGTTGTAGGCGCCACAAGCGCCGAAGGCGTTCTCGTCTCTCAGGTACGCTGGCCGTGACATCAGCCTCTCCAGCATGGACACGTTCAGCCCGTAGGCCATGGCAAGCCTAGACTTGATGACCGGCCCCAGCTGCATGGGGTCTCCGGCAAGCACGATCTGTGGACACAGCATCAGGCTGGGTGAGGCCGACGGCAGCACCCAGCTCAGTCGACGAGCACAGACTGACGCGGGCAGGAAGGATGCAAGACGGCTCATGAGAAGAGCGGGAGGGCCCCGTGCTGCCTGCCTCAGGGCTCCCTGGGCACAGGTTGAGGGTGAGGGCTGAGGCGGATGGGCCACCCTAACACCCGTGAGGAGATGGACTGCTGAGGATGAGAAATGATATAGGGGTCGGAGGGCCTCAGCTGGTTAGCATGGCCTGGCCAGGGCAACGTCAGCTGAAGCGGATAAGACGCAAGTGATCCAAGACACAGCACCCGCCAGCCTTTCCCCTGTCCTCCTTCCTTCCACCTCGCGTGGCCCGGCTTCCCCGCCCACTGGTCTCTTGGTGGGAGGGCACGGCCCTGGGGAAATTCAACACCAGGGCCCCTGTGCCAGCAACGACTCATCTCTCTCACCCCAATGCCTATGAACATCCAACACCCCCCGCCCCACCTGGACTGGCCCTCTCCTCCCCAGGCCTCCACACGCACTCTGCCCCTGGAATGAGACACAAGGACCTGACCCTGGGCAGGAGTCTGGCAACAGGGCTCAGAGGAGCTGCGATGCTCACAGCAGACGCCATGTGGCAGTCCCGCCGAATGTGCGGGGACGAGGGTGCGTCAGGGGACTCCCGGTCTCTGCCATGAGTGAGTGCTGGAGGAGAGGACAGGCCGGGAGCAGAAGACAGGTGAGAAGGCCACACAGGGAAACAGTGAGGGGGCCGGGGAGACCCCGAGTGGAGGGGACGGGCGGTCATCGAAGCAGTGGGGTCCGGTCCCAGGGGTGACTGAGAGCCCGTCTCAGCAAGGACGTGCTCAGGGTGTGTGTCCGCCCTTCACGATGTCGCTCCTGCTGTGCGGGGATGGCAGGGACCCCTGGACTAGGCGCCTGCTGGGACCAGGTCTGCTGTGCTTATGCAGAGCCCACAGCTAGCTAAGAGCTCACTATGGTTTTATAAGAGAAGGATACAGAGGAAGAAGCCTTTCTCTTGGCCTGTGACTGAATCGGGACCCCAGGTGCCCCACCTCTTGTGCTCTGAGGGTGCCGCACGGACAGAGATGCAGGCCACGGCGCATCACTGCAGGAAAAACGCCAGAACAGACCACAGACCACACCACACAACAGTCTTACCTGGCCATTGACGTCCGAGATGAGCCCCAGAGGGATCAGGCACTCCGGCTCGCTTGCCTGTCCTGCTTCATCCACAAACACATGTGTAAAATGCCCGACCCTACAGCCAAAGACATTCTCAATGCGACTGCTGCCACGTTATCCCAGCCACCCATGCCCACCGCTGAGGGCTACGGAGAGCCCGCCCGGGGCAGGACTACCAGCATGGAGATGGGGGATGGCGCGGTCGGGAGGGACACAGCTCAGTGGGCCCGGAGTATAAACTGTTAGGAACAGTGTGCTCAGGACCGCCCCGGAGGGCGGGGGTTGGGGATGGACGACCGCAGAGTGACGCTGTGAGCAGCTGCGGAGGCCCCTCTCCATCTGATCCCCGGTGATCAGATGCAGCTCCTGGAATCAAGTCTGGGTGAGCTGCGGCCTCGGGTAGGAGACTTCACCCCTCTGGCTCAGTGCCCCCTGCGTGACACGGGGCAGGGCTGCCGCAGAGCCTGGGTTCACCGACAGCAGCTGCTGCTCCAGGCTTGCCTGTTTCCTCCTGATTAACCCTGATGAACCCACCACTGGCTAAGGCGTTACCCGGCTTCAGTGGGAACAGATCAAGGTCCAGGATGTGCATGACCTTGAATGTGGCGCCACACACCAAGTACATACCAAGCACAAATGGTCTGTGCTCTGGGCTGGCCCGGGACAGCACTTTGACACTGTCTCCTGACCCGTCACCAGCCTGTGAGGCCAGCAGCAACCCCACTGTGACTCAGAGGACACTGAGACGCAGAGTAGACCCTGGCCACCCCCTTTTAGGCCCTTCTTGTGACAAGTTCTTCTCATTTCTGCAACCTCAAGTCCTGCACCCACTGCCCTGCATCCCTCAGGTCCTGCACCCCCGCACCCTCAGGTCCCGTACCCCCGTAGCCTCAGGTCACGCACCCCCGTACCCTCAGGTCACGCACCCCCGTACCCTCAGGTCCCACACCCCCTGCACCCTCAGATCCCACATCCCCTATACCCTCAGGTCCTGCACCCCCTGTACCCTCAGGTCCCGCACCCCCCCAAGTACCCCACAGGTCCTGCACCCCCCAGTACCCCTCCGGTCCTGCAACCTCTGTACCCTCAGGTGCTGCAATCCCCACACCTCTCAGGTTCTGAACCCCTCAGGTCCCCCATCCCCTGTGCCCCTTGGGTCCCACACCTGTCCTAGTTACTCTGATCACTTGACCCTGACAGTCTAGTGTCTGCCGCCCTCCTGTCCCACGAAGCCTGAGGACAGAGGCTGTCACCGTGCAGCCTGCGCTCACCTCACCCCGATCTGATAGAAGAGGCCTGCGCTGCTGCATGTCGTGATTATCACCCTGAATCGTGAAGCCTTCCAGATGTCTTCTCCGTCCCTGCAGTAAGGCTTGACGGCGTCGATGATCGTCTGGGGGAGGCCGGTGTGTTTTAAAGTATGAAACATCCGTTTAAATTGGGCAGGATCGTCCTGTCCTGTTGCCTGTCCTTAGTGACGACTAAGCAACGGGTCAGGACTGGCTTTACTACGAGAGACGTCTGATGGTTTCCCACAATTCAGCCTGTGCTGTGAGGACTCCAGAGCTGTGACTGTAACACAGGATCCTGCAGGCCCCTCCCCAGATAGCTTTCTTTACACATTTCCTAGATTCCAGTTCCTTGTTTTAAGCAATATTTCCTTTTATAAGCAAATCAAGACGTTTCCGTTGTTCTAAAGAGACACTTATAACCAAACTGATAAAACAGGACAGGGAGGAACGATGCCCCAGGGCCAATGTAAGGGGGTGTGCGAGCATGGAGGGCTCCGGTGTTCAGAGGAGGCGTGAAATGCTCCCTCAGGGCTCGGAGCATGCTCACCTCCTCGAACCTGCAGGTGGCATTCACGCGAACCATGGCGCCAGGCCGCAGCACCTGGCTCTCGTGCAGCCGCAGGCACACCAGGTCTGCAGCGCTGTTGGAGGGGGCGCACACTAGGATCCGACTGTCCGGCAAGGCACAGTATACCTGTGCCAGAGACAGAGACAAAGGACGGTGAACACCAGCCGCCAAAGGGACAGAAACACAGAGCACGAAGGCCTGCACGTGCCCTGTTCACTTCACGCGGCCCAGCTGTGCGGGCTCAGATGCGGACCCCTCAACTGAGACACTGACCAACCGCGACACGGAGGCCGCCTGCCCCATCGCTAGTGCTAACAGGACACGAGAGGAGGCGGCAAAGCTCCACGTGCCCCAAGATTCCACTCTGCACTCAAGGGAGACCCGAGGCAGACGAAGCCTCACACGTGCAGCGTGCTGCGTGCAGCCCAGGGGCAGGGCCAGGTGTGCAGTGAATGCTCGCCAATGTGATCCAGAAGGACACCAGAAACACGACACGCACACCATATTCACGCATCCGATGTTTAGTACAAATGGCGATGCCAGGAACGTCTGCAGACGTTGGCTTCAGCTACTGCAAAGGTGATGTCTTTCCCGCAGCGAATCATCACCATGTGACTGAATGCTTTACTGTTCCGAAAATGAAGGGATTCCTTTCTAAACCTATGGGATAAGCTTTGAAAATGCCGCATAATCACATAAACACCACAAAACAAATGTAGCTGCATAACGTGAAATGCCTGGGATTTCTCAACCTTCTTCTCTACAACTTTCTGATTCTGTAAGATAACCGAGCGCATCTTGGTGACAAGCACACGCGAGACGCGGTAGGACAGGGCACCGTCTGGTCGGTGGCTGCCGCTGTCAATACCTGCAAAACAGCCTCGATGATGGTCACGGTCTTCCCAGTTCCAGGAGGTCCAAAGAGAATATACGGGAGTGGGCGGCAGTCACCACTCAGAATTCTTTTGACTGCTAATTTCTGATTTTCATTTAGCATTGGATTAAAAAATCCTTTATCTCTTGCTTTCACAGACTGAGCTTCATTTGCTGTATTGAAAGTGGAGAAAGTTTCCGTTAGAGGTCGAAGGATGTGAACAGCTGTGGAACACCTTGTCACCTAGGTCTGGTGCTGCAGCACAGATGGCCAAACTCAGAGGGGGAGACGCTTCTCTGTGTAACTACTACAAGGCCATGCAGCAAACTCCCCACAACCACCTGTCTGGCCTTCATCAAGCAGTGTCAGGAGAGTCAATCCACTTTCCTGAGAGGGAAACCAGACGGCGCAGCTCACTTCTGCTTGTGTAAGCAAAACCAGCTGAAATACTAGGGGCGTGGCCTCCCGGTCTCTGCACAGCCTACCAGCCCACACGGCAACAACATGCTGTCGTCAGAAAGCCCTCGGAAGGGATCCGACTGATGGCAGTGGCTCTTCCTGGGCGTGGTCGGTAAGTCAGCCGCCCCTCTCTGGGGTGACTGACGGCTGGTGCGGACCACACACACCTCCCAGCCCTTGCTTTTCCGCAGAGCGAGGGCATCTGTCTTAGTTACCTAGTGCTGCTATAAGAAAAATACCCCAAGCGAATGGCTTTAACAGGTAGCTATTTTCTCAGTTTAGGAGGCTAGAAGTCCGAATTTGGGGCGTCAGCTCCAGGGCAAGGCTTTCTCTCTCTGTCGGCACTGGAGGAGGGTCCCGGTCTCTTCAGCTTCCGCTTCCTGGTTCCTTAGAGATCTCCACGTGTCTTGGCATCTCTCTACCCCTCTCTCTTGCTTCCCTCGCTTGCTTGTTTTCATTTCTTTTATATCTCAAAAGAGACTGATTCAAGACACACCCCACACTAATCTTGCCTCTCACATAACAGACAACCCATTCCCAAACGGGATCATAACCACAGGCATAGAGGTTAGGATTTACAACACGTATTTTTGGGGGAAACAATTCAATCCCTAACAGTATCTCTCCAGGTGCTGGTGGTCTCTGTGCCCCCCTCCGGGCCATCCACCTCCCAGCTCACTGTGCTCTGCTGCGAAGGCTGCCATCCCCAGCACGTCCTTGGCACTGGCATGCCTCTCCTTTCCTGCATGCTTCGTTTGGTCCTTCCCAGTTCTCCTGTTCTAGAAATAACAATGCAGAAAATGGTTTGGGAAAAAAAAAAAAACCCAACAGCTTCACACTGACTTAGTTTAAAGAGCAATACATCTACCAATGTTCCACTTGCTCTATTTATTTAACAGCTTTGGACAGATTCCAGGTTATGTCATTTAAAACATGATAAAAACACAGAACGTCTGATCAAAAGCTGCTAAAAAGGTTTGTTTCCTTTAGGATTCTTTGAAAAAACAAGTATCGGTCGGTTAAATTTTGTGAAGCAAAGTTGAAACCAAAACACAGGAGGACATTTCATTTGACAAAAACGCACCTTGTCTCAGCGGTTCCCTTGCTTTTCAGGCTCACCACCCAGCGGAGCTGGCTCTGCTCCCCAGGTGTGTGGGTGGCGGGGGTGGGGGTGTGCCAGGCCCTGCTCTCCTGGGTACAGCACCCCACTTCAGACACGACAACTGGGGAGCGCGGAAGCCCAGCTGCTGCTGTCAACGGGGTTCAGAATTCGGCACAAGAACGAGCGTGTGTGTTTAAAGGTAAGTGTTAACTTGCTCTGGACCAACGGACCTGCTCTTTAGTTTTCCTGGTCAGGGTGCTGTAACTACCAGCTGTGCAGTGTATCGGTCTTCAGTCCCTTGATCATTTTCATAGGACACATTTCTGAAAGTAAACCCAGCCTATAGCAGTCTAGTCCAAGGAACATGTAACACTGCCCATAAAGAACCCTGTAACATGCTTTCCTCCCATCTTACATCTACACGTGGAAAACTGCACAGTACTTGTTATCTCAGCTTACAAAGTCCATTTTCTTTAAATGTGAATTTAAAAACTCAGAAAAAAACCTTTTACGTTTCTCCCCATATTTACTACATTTCTTCGAGTTCCTCTCGTTACTGTGTATAGACCCTTATTCTACCTGGTATCACTCTCCTTATGCCTGAAGAACTTTATTATTTCTAGTAGTTTAAAACTGCTGGTGAGTAGTTCTTTCAGCTTTTCTATGTCTGAAGAAGTTTTTATTTTCATTTTTTCCTCATAGCTTACTGAGGTAAAATTCACATTACGTGAAATTATCCATTTTAAAGTGAACCATTCAGTGGCATTTAGTCCGTTCACAATCTCTTCCACCACTCCATCTAGTTCCAGAACACCTCAATCAGTTGAAAGTGAAACCCCCTCCCTACCCACTAGACAGCTTCTTCCCATTCCATTCTCCCCACAGCCGCTGGCATCCACCCATCTATATGCTGGACAGCTCAGACAGGTGCAATTATACAATATTTGTCCTTCTGTGTCTTACTTATTTGACTCAGCACAATGCTGCCACGGTTCATCCAAGTGGTAGCACCTATCAGTACTTCTCCCTGCAAGAATGTCAGTCTGTCGTACACCAGGGGCTTGTGCGTTGCTGTATGCTGGACGCGACACTACCGATATTCAAATACCAGCAGGGTCACCCATGGTGGATGGGTTTCAGCTGAACTTCCAGACTAAGACAGACTAGGAAGAAGGACCCGGCAGTTTACTTCTGAAAAGAATTAGCCAGTGAAAACCGTATGAACAGCAGTGGAACACTGTCGGATACAGTGTCAGAAGATGAGCCCTCAGGTAGGGAAGCTCTCAGAATACAACTGGAGAAGAGCTGCCTCCTCAAAGTAGAGTCAACCTTAATGACATGGATGAGTCAAGCTTTTGGGACCTTCATTTACTGATGTGGCATGACTCAAAATGAGAAGAAACAGCCGCAAACATCTATTAATCGGAATGTGGAATGTACAAAGTATGAATCTAGGAGAATCATAAATCATCAAAAATGAAATGCAACACATAAACGTTGATATCCTAGGCATCAGTGAGCTGAAATGGGCTGATATTGGCCATTCTGAATTGGACAATCATGTGGTCTATTGTGCTGGGAATGACAACATGAAGAGGAATGGCATCACATTCACTGTCAAAAAGAACATTTCAAGATCTATCCTGAAGAACAACACTGTCAGTGATAGGATAATATCCACACACCTATGAGGAAAATCAGTTAATACGACTATTATTCAAATATACGTACCAATCACTAAGGCCAAAGATGAAGAAATTAAAGACTTTTACCAACTTCTTTAGTCTAAATTGATCAAACATGCAATCAGGATGCATTGATAATTACATCTGATTGGAATTTAAAAGTTGGAAACAAAGAAGGATCGGCCTTGGTGACAGAAACAATGCCGGAGACTGCATGATAGAATTTTGCAAGACCAACGACATCTTCATTGCAAATACCTTTTATCACCAACATGAACAGTGACTATACACATGGACCTTGCCACATGGAATGAATACACAGGAATCAAATCGGCTACGTCTGTCGAAAAAGATGCTGGAAAAGCTTGATATCATTAGTCAGAGCAAGGCCAGGGGCCAACTGCGGAACAGACCATTAGTTGCTCACATGCAAGTTCAAGTTGAAACTGAAGAAAATCAGACCAAGTCGACAAGAGCCAAAGGACAACCTTGAGTATATCCCACCTGAATTTAGAGACCATCTCAAGAACAGATTTGATGTGTTGAACACTAATGACCAAAGACCAGATGAGCTATGGAATGACATCAAAGACATCATACATGAAGAAAACAAAGGGTCATTAAAAAGACAGGAAAGAAAGAAAAGATCAAAATGGATGTCAGAAGAGACTCTGAAACTTGCTCTTGAACGTGGAGTAGCCAAAGTGAATGGAAGAAATGATGAAGTGAAAGAACTGAAGATTTCAAAGGGCAGCTTGAGAAGACGAAGTATTATAACGACCTGTGCAAACACCTGGAGATAGAAACCTAAAGGGAAGATCACACTCAGCATTTCTCAAGCTGAAAGAACTGAAGAAAAAAATTCAAGCCTCGAGTTGTTATACTGAAGGATTCTATGGGGAAAATATTAAACGACGCAGCAAGCATCAAAAGAAGATGGAAGAAATACACAGTCACTGTACCAAAAAGAACTGGTGGACATTCAACCATTTCAGGAGGCAGCATATGATCAGGAACAGATGGTACTATAAGAAGAGGTCCAAGCTGCACTGAAGGCATTAGCAAAAAACAAGACTCCAGGAACTGATGGAATACCAATTGAGATGTTTCAACAAACAGATGCAGCGCTGGAAGTGCTCACTGGTCTGTGCCAAGAAATCTGGAAGACAGCTACCTGGCCAACCGACTGGTAGAGATCCATATTTATGCCTACTCCAAAGAAAGGTGATCCAACCAAATGCGCCAATTATCAAACAGTATCATTATTACCACATGCAAGTAAAATTTTGCTGAAGATCATTCAGAAGCAGTTGCAGTGGTACATCAACAGGGAACTGCCAGAAATTCAAGCCAGATTCAGAAGGGGATGTTGAACCAGAGATATCATTGCTGATGTCAGATGGATCCTGGGTGAAAGCAAGGAATACCAGAAAGATGTTTACCTGTGTTTTGACTATGCGAACGCACTTGTAGATCACTGTGTAGATCATAACAAATTATGGATAACACTGCAAAGAGTAGGAATTTCAGAACACTTAATTGTGCTCTTGAGGAACCTGTACCTAGATCAAGAGGCAGTCATTCAAACAGAACAAGGGGATACTGCATGGTTTAAAGTCAGGAAAGGTGTGTATCCTTTCACCATACTTATTCAATCTGTATGCTGGGCAAACAATCCGAGAAGCTGGACATATATGAAGAAGAAAGGGGCATCAGGATTGGGGGAAGACTCATTAACAACCTGTGTTATGCAGGTGACACAATCCTGCTTGATAAAAGTGAAGAGGACTTGAAGCACTTGCTGATGAAGATCAAAGACCACAGCCTTCAGCACGGATTACACCTCAACATAAAGGAAACAAAAATCCTCACACTGGACCATAAGCAACATCATGATAAACGGAGAAAATATTGAAACTGTAAAGGATTTCATTTTACTTGGAACCACAATCAACACCTACGGAAGGAGCAGTCAAGAAATCAAATGATGCACTGCACCGGGCGAATCTGCTGCAAAAGCTCTCTTTAAAGTGTTAAAAAGCAAAGATGTCACTTCAAGACTGAGGTGTGACTGACCCAAGCCTTGGTGTTTTCAACTGCCTCATATGCATGTGAAAGCTGGACAATGAATAAAGAAGAACAAAGAATTGATGTCTTCGAATTATGCTGTTGGCAAAGAATATTGAATATACCGTGGACTGCCAGAGGACCGAACAAATCTGTCTTGGAAGTATAGCTAGGATGCTCCTTAGAAGTAAGGATTGTGAGACTTTCTCTCAAGTACTCTGGACATGTTATCAGGAGGGATCAGTTCCTGGAAAAAGACATCGTGCTTGGTAAAGTAAAGGGTCAGCGAAAAAGAAGAAGACCTTCAATGAAATGGACTGACACAGTGGCTGCAACAATGGGCTCAAGCGTAACAACGATCATGAGGATGGCGCAGGACTGGGCAGTGTTCTCTTCTGTTGTACACAGGGTCGCTATGAGGTGGCACCTGAAAGCAACAACTATATATACATACACACATCACTGGTTTTGCTTTTCTAGAGAACCCAGGCTCACTAAGACACTAGCTAATCCGTAAGAAGATAATTTCTGCATTTAAAATCATGAAGATCCAGTCAGGAATGGGGCCCCCCTAAACAGCAACTCCCACCTAGTATCCCACCACAGCATCACAAAGCCTCCCCTGGATGGACTGAGGTGACAGGAGAGGAAGGGGGCTCTGCAGGTGGCACTGCATCTGCACTCTGTGAAGACACATTTCTGTTTTCAGACCAAAACAGACTGGACATAAAGCACACAGCACACAACTTCAACGGACGACCTTTTGCTGTTTTTTTCAAAGTATTTTCCATGACTGTGTAGTCATTCTAACACTATCATTTTTGTAGTTTTTAGAAAAGGGCTATAAAATGGTGAAAGAGTTTCTAAATATTACATATAATTTTAAAATTATACTTATTAGAAATTTAAAACATGCCGTGATGGTTAAGACTGTATGCCAACTTGGCTGGGCCATGATTCTTAAGTGTTTTGGCAGTTGCAGAATGCTGTGATCACTTCCCTGTTGAAATACGGTATGTGATCACCCCCATGGATGGAACCTGCTGAGTGGTACCGGTGGGGGCAGGGCCTGTGGTGGCTCACCGCCCCCTCAGCCTTTATCTCTCTGCCCTCCGCCAGCTCCTTCCTTCCTGTTTGCCTTGCCAAGGTTTTTGGCTTGCTCCGGATCCAGCAGCTGCCTCTTGTCGTCTCATCTCTGGTTCTCGGGACTTGAGCTAGCAGCTTGCCTGTCAATCTTGTGATTCATTGATCTTCACAGCCTGTAAGCAAGAGTCCTGCTCCCTGACCAGCTGATCCTGGGCTCGTCAGCCCCTGTAGCTATGTGAATCAGGAGAAACCTTGCGGCCTTGCCTGCCGATCTTGGAACTCGTCACCCTTCACAGCCTGTGAGCTGGAGCCCTGCTCTCTGACCTGCTGATCTTGGGTTCGCCAGCTTCTGTGGCTGCATGTATTTGGAGAGGCCTTTACCACAATCCATGGACTTGGGACGTTCTAGCCTCTACAACTGCATGAGCTGTTTCCTTGATATAAATCTCTCTCTAAATATATTTATACGCTTTACTGGTTTTGCTTCTCTAGAGAACCCAGCCTAAGACACATGCTCATAAAAGCAAATTCCAACAGCATAGAATTCTAGGTTGTAAACTCCACCATGGCATGGATTATTTTTCTTGTTACTGGAATGTAAGTACTTCTATTTACTTATGAAAGTATACTGACTGTCTAGCACATTACCTGGCACACAATGGGCACTACATCACTATTTATGGAGCAACTGGTTGTAGAAGAAAAAACATCTCTGCAACATTTACAGAGACTGCAAATGCTAACAATTTGTTGGGTGTGTACACTTCTAGATATTTTATGTGTGTATACAATCATGTAAATGTGCCTGCCCGAGAGAACACAAAAACCACTTAACTTTTAAATAAAGATATTTCTTTCTTTCCAGATGCCACTGAGTTGATTCCAATTCATGGTGACTCCCACATATGTCAGAGTAGAACTGTGTTGCATACAATCTTCAATGGATAATTTTCCTTATTCCCACTTAATATACTGCAGCCATCTTAGCGTTGCACATAACTATATGTAAATGTCACACTAAATCTATTTTATGGATATTTAAATTAGTTCTATTTTAACTGGTTTTTGGTTATTGTGAACTACCCTCCTCTAATGCCCCAATAAACTGAGAGGTAGGGCATGAAGAAACAAACGCGTAACATTATCCATTTAAAATATCAAAGTCATTAAAGTGTTACCTTGGTGGTGGACTGTCCCTCATTTTTGGTATTTTGTATGTGGCTCCAATTCCCTGTAACTTGGGGAGACTGTAAAATGATTTCTTCTGGAAACAGTACTTTTTAAACAAGAAAAGGGAAGAGGGTAGATGTTACTGAAAACTTTACAAAAGATGAATAAAGGCATCCTGTTTATGGCCAACCCTACCAAAACGCTTCAATCTATTCCACATCTGTCCTTTCTGCTCCCTTTTATACTGTTTCTAAGTTACAGCATAATACAAGTACTGCGTATGCTTTGCAACAAAACTCGTCTATTCCTAAGTACAAAAATTTGTTAAGAGAGAAAAACCAGAGTTTAATGGATTTACTTTCAATTATTTAAGCATGCCATTTTTACAAGGCTGAAACAGGAGAAAACACTAGAGCTCCCCAACAGAAAGTTAAGAATGTGGACGTTGCACAGTTTTACTGCTAACATATGACTTAAGAAACTGTATTTTTATACAAAATTTTACATGAAGCCCATAAAAATACTCTAGGAAGACGGTAACACTACCATTCCACAGAAATAATACCTTTTACCCCTAAATGGATGACCTGTTCAAGTGCAAAGTGGCATCGTCTACTTGTAGTCCTGCCAAAAAAAACACAACATAAAATAACCTTAAGTTTAGAAATATTAAGACTAGCACGATAATGGGTATCTGATCATTAATCTCTAAGTCAGTAAACTAACATGGCCATTTATAAAATACGTACAAAGAAAGACCATATTAGAGGTCAGCTCTGACATGGTTCTCAAGGGCACTACTGGGAAATGTGAAGGACTGAAGGGTTACTCTCCTTTATGTGTGTACACAAAACACTGCGAAATCAGGAGTTTTATATTAGAACAGAAATATCCCAGTTATCAGAAAAGCAGGCATTCTTCTGTTTCTGGGAAAATTTCTGTTCAATGTATAAAGCAGGTAAGTGGAAAAAGTGAAATACATAGTCTATGAAGTTTAGAGAAAGAGTGATACTACTGTGTCAACAGAAATTTTTGTTTGTAAAGGTGTCCCTTGAAAGTCATCGAAAACTCCATCTTCACTGCAAGGAGATGGTCAAAGCTCCAAAGCACAAATGGAGAAGAATACCTGTTAAGAGAAGTCTGGCTGCAAACAAGCAAGCATACAAGAGCTGATACACACCTCCAAACTTGGGCCAGAGATAGACTGCTGGAAAATTCAGCTTGGCTTCTGAAGGACCACTGACCGCTTCTCAACTGGACCACAAGGGACACAGCAGAGGCTCCGTCCGAGGTCCTGCCAGGACCCAGTTCCTCATGGCTGAGTCCTGGGTCTGCGTGTGTACGCAAAGCCAGAGAACCGCTTGCACAAGGCATCTGTGAGCTCCACCAGCATCTCCAGGCCTGAGCCAGAGGAGACCTTCCCAAGGGGTTTCTAGGTGCTGAAGCTGTTGGCAGGCAGTCTGTACTTTCAACACAATCTTCAGCAAACTGTTGCCTGGGATACAATATGCCCCATTCAAAGGTGAATAACAACCAGTAAAGAACCATCCTAGGACTTAGCAAAACTGACTCGAAGGAAAGAGGAAAAAATGGATCAATCGATGAGTAAGAAGCTGATAAATTTGACTTAAAGTCTGGTTCTTTCCAGTCCAGAGATGTCGACAGCTACACTCAAACCCTCCAGAAACAGCAACCCAGTGCTATGTAAACTCTCCCACAGTAGAGAAAAAGGAGGAATGCTTTCAAAATCTTTTCAAAGTTGTTGTAACAAAGGAACCAACAATGTGACAAAGGTAATATGAAACAGTAAACGAGAAGTCACCATCAGCATGCAGATCACCATCTTGCTTCCTAATAGTGACAAAAACATGAATTAAATGCTAGCCAATAAATTCCAGAAGCACATTAAAGGAGGAATTCACCCAAATTGGAAAACGTATTTTTCATCCTGTGTATATGAGAAAGGTTCAATATAAAGTTATCCACTTCAAATACTTCATCACATGAATAGGTTGAAGGAAAAAAATTTCTAAATAAATGTGAAAAGGCAATTAATGAATATTCAACATTAGTATCTTAAAATATCATGATGGATATGAAAATGATAATTCCTTCACATGATTAATCCAAAAGATGGCAAGATACTGAAGGTAAAACACTAGCAGTGTTTCTAGTAAACTAAGAAATAAGACAAAGGGATAGAAAACCATGAGAAAAAAAAAAAGAAAAACTGTGGGGAACTAACATGACAGCAAAGAATTCCCAAGGAGGAAAAAGAACAGAAAGAAAAAAAGAACAATTTTCTGAATACAAACTGTTCTTCAATAAGAAATTCAATATTGAAAATCTGCCAGTTATTCCTATATTTGATCATCATTGGCAAAGACAGAAGAGTATTTATTGCTTCACTGTTTGTAACAGCAAAAAACTGAGAATCTAAATGTCTAACAACAGTGTATTCGTTAAATAAATTTTAAGACTTCCTTCAACAGGATAACTTTCATTCAGCCCTAATCACCTGACATCAGAAAAGAAAGGCCTCAAATCCATGATCTCAACTTCTACCATGAGTAACTAGAAAAAGAAGAGCAAATGGAACCCAAAGCAAGCAGAAAAATGCTAACAATAAAGATTAGAACAAAAATCAATAGAACAGAAAACAGAAAAACGCTTGTTGTTAGGTGCCCTTGAGTCGGTTCCAACTCACAGCAACCCTATGTACAACACTGCCTGGTCCTGTGCCATCCTCACAATCATTGCTATATTTGAGCCCATTGTTGCAGCCACTGTGTCAATCCATCTCATTGAGAGTCTTCCTCTTTTTCACTGACCTTCTACTTTACCACCAAGCTTGATGTCCTTCTCCAGGGACTGCTCCCTCCTGATAACATGTCCAAAATACATGAGACCATCCTCAATTCTAAGGAGCACTTTTGGCTGTACTTCTTCCAAGAGAGATTTGTTTGTTCTTCTGGCAGTCCGTGGTATGTTCAATTTTCTTCGCCAGTACCACAATTCAAAGGCATTAATTCTTCTGTGGTCTTTCTTATTCATTGTCCAGCTTTTACAGGCTGTCATGGCTTGAACTGTGTCCCCCAAAAACATGTGTCAACTTGGTTAGGTCATGATTCCCAGTACTGTGTGGTTGTCCTCCATTTTATGATTTTCCTAAGTGTTATAAATCATAGTATCTGCCTGTGATTAAAGAGGATTAGGGTAGGATGTAACACCCTTGTTCAGGTCACATCCCTGATCCAAGGTACAGGGAGTTTCCCTGCGGTGTGGCCTGAACCACCTTTTATCTTACAAGAGATAAAAGGAAAGGGAAGAAAACAGAGAATTGGGGACCTCATTCCACCAAGAAAGAACCACTGGGAGCATAGCGCGCCCTTTGGACCCGGGGTCCCTGTGCGGAGAAGCTCCTAGTCCATTGGAAGATTGATAAGAAGGACCTTCCTCCAGAGCCGACAGAGAGAGAAAGCCTTCCCCTGGAGCTGACACCCTGAATTTGGACTTCCAGCCTACTGGACTGTGAGAGAATAAACTTCTCTTTGTTAAAGCCATCCACTTGTGGTATTTCTGTTAGAGCAACACTAGATAATTAATATACAGGCATATGAGGTGACTAAAAATACCATGGCTTGGTCAGGTGCACGTTAGTGCTCCAATTGAAATCTTTGCTTTTGAACACCTTAAAGAGGTCTGTCTTTAGTCATCTAGTGCTACTCTAACAGAAATACCGCAAGTGGATGGCTTTAACAAAGAGAAATTTATTCTCTCACAGTCTAGTAGGCTACAAGTCCAAATTCAGGGTGTCAGCTCCAGAGGAAGGCTTTCTCTCTCTGTCAACTCTGGAGGAAAGTCCTTGTCATCAGTCTTCCCTTGGTCTGGAAGCATCTCGGCATAGGAACCTCAGGTCCAGAGGATGCACTCTGCTCCGGTGCTTCTTTCCTGGTGGTATGAGGTCCCCAACTCTCTGCTTGCTTCCCTTTCCATTTATCTCTTGTAAGATAAAAGGTGGTGCAGGCCACACCCTAGGGAAACTACCTTTACACTGGAGCAGGGATGTGATCTTAGTATGGGTGTTACAATCCCACCAGAGTCCTCTTTAACATAAAATTACAATCACAAAATGGAAGACAACCACACAATACTGGGAATCATGGCCCAGCCAAACTGATATACACATTTTTTGGGGGGACATAATTCAATCCATGACAAGGTCTTCTGCAGCAGATTTGCCCGTGCAATGTCATTTGATTTCCTGACTGCTGCTTCCATGGGCATTGACCATGGATCCAAGTACAATGAAATCCTTGACAACTTCAAGCTTTTCTCCGTGTATCATGATGTTGTTTATTGGTCCAGCTGTGTGGGTTTTTGTTTTCTTTTTGTTGAGGTGTAATCCATATTGAAGGATATATAGTCTTTGATCTTCAACAGTAAGTGCTTCAAGTCCTCTTCACTTTCAGCAGGCAAGGTTATGTCATCTGCATATCGTAAATTGTTAGTAAGTTTTCCTCCAATCCTGATGTTGCGTTCTTCTTCATATAGTCCAGCTTCTTGGATTATTTGCTCAGCATACAGACTGAATAAGTATGGTGAAAGGATACAACCCCAACACACACCTTTCCTGATTTTAAACCACACAGTATACCCTTGCTCTGTTCCAACAACTGCCTCTTCATCTATTTACAGGTTCTGCATGAGCACAATTAAGTGTTCTGGAATTCTCATTCTTTGCAATGTTTTCCATAATTCATTATGATCCACACAGTCAAATACCTTTGCATAGTTAGTAAAACATCTTTCTAGTATTCTCTGCTTTTAGCCAGGAGCCATCTGACATCAGCAACGATATACCTCATTTGACATCTTCTGAATCCAGCTTGAATTTCTGGCCATTCCCTGTACTGCAGCAACCATTTTAGAATTATCTTCAGTAAAAATTTTACTTGCACATGGTATTAATCATACTGTTGGATAATTTCCACATTCTGTTGGATCATCTTTCTTTGGAATGGGCGCAAATATGGATCTCTTCCAGTTCATTGGCCAGGTAGCTGCCTTCCAAATTTCTTGGCATAAACAAGTGAGTGCTTCCAGCATTGCATCTGTTTGCTGAAACATCTCAACTGGTATTCCATCAATTCCTAGAGCCTTGTTTTTCGCCAATGCCTTCAGTGTAGCTTGGACTTCTTCCTTCAATACTAGCAGCTCTTGATCTCACGATACTTCCTGAAATGGTTGAACACTAGCCAATTCTTTTTGGTACAGTGATTCTCTATTCCTTCCATCTTTTTTTAATGCTTCCTACGTTGTTCAATATTTTGCCCACAGAATCCTTCAATATTGCAACTCAACGCTTGAATTTTTTCTTCAGTTCTTTCAGCTTGAGAAACGCTGAGCATGTTCTTTCGTTTTGGTTTTCTAACTCTAGGTCTTTGCACATTTCATTGTAATATTTTACTTTATCTTCTCGAGCTGCCCCTTGAAATCTTCTGTTCAGCTTTTTTACTTCATCATTTCTTCCATTCGCTTCAGTTACTCTGCGTTTAAGTGCAAGTGTCAGAGTTTCCTCTGACATCCATTTTGGTCTTCTTTTGCTTTCCTGTCTTTTTAAT